AAATAAAATGCTAAGATTTGCAAAGCAGCCTCGCTGATTCAATGGGGACAAAAACATATACAAAGTTGATAGTAAAATGTGCCATTCATTTCAGCTGTTGACTTATATTTTCATTGACATATTTGTTGCTTTCATTAAAACCGTTCGAACAAAATCTAAATTCAAGCCTCTGTATGGGTTTTGTCATGTTTTCCGTTTGTTTGAATTCATCAAATGCATAGTAATTACACATAATTTTCCAATGTGAAAGAACAGGGGTAACATCTTTTAACAAAACTAGTTATTTTATTAAAATGCACAAAAGACGCATACCAATTATGTAAAAAAGACTGTAATTACACACACAGATATATTACACTATTACACTATGTCACATCCATTTGAAGAAATTTAAAATTAAATAATCCTTAAACCTCGATTAGATTCTCGGTTTCCTTTCATTTGTCTTCTGAGGGTAAATTTGCACGACACCACCACTACCCTCATACTCCCTACAATTATATTCCTTTTGCATACAGACGACAACATTGTCAAAATGATCCCTGTTTACACAGATCTGTGAAAACAACTAAAAATGCTGTATTTTGCATGCCAGGCCAGTAGTTGACAGTGTCACGAAGACACTACGTGCCTGTGCACATATGTAGACTGAATACATGCGCATGATCACAATTTTCACCAATTTTTGTAGTTTAGACGATAGTCGTATCATTTAAAAAAAGCTTGTACTTTAATTTTCAGCCATCCAAGATGCTGTTCTTGTCTAAATGAATGTCCAAAACACATGAAAATTTTCCATTTTTAGGTAAAAACGGTGTCGTGTAAATGTCCCCTTAGCTTTGAAAAGCACATAATGTGTTTCAGATGGCCTTCACTATACATCCTGTATAGTGGTGAAATTAATACAGTAATTACAGTGATGGAGAGAATAGGTGGGACAACTTCACATACAAATATGTGTTTACTGACTATATCAGCTATGCACATGAAATAAGCTACTACTAGAGGCAAATAACAAACCAGGATAGACGCTAAAATATGACAGATGATTCTGAAGGCCTTCCTTTTTTGCTGGTTCTCAATAGCTCTGCCCCTGTTGGTTTTATTGTGTCTGTCTTTCTCTGTCATTTCTACGTTATTTTGATCACCTGGTCCTGGGCGCTCCAGGGCACAAAGGACAGAGACAGAGCAAAAAGAGGTCGTTATCACTGCAATGCAAAAAACAAAAAAGTATACATGATCTCGAAAAAAGTCAATCCTGATGAAAACGAGCCTTGAGCTGTTGCCCACTGCAATCAGCCAAGCTGCTGCCGCCAATGCAGTCCTGTACTGGATGGCCTTAAATCTCAGGAATGTTACTGGATGAATCACTGCCAGATATTGTTCAATACACATGCACATCTGGATAAGAGGTCTGAAAGTCCAGCTGAGACCAATGAGAAAGGTAGATAAGTTGTAGCTCACTGTTGTTGAATATTTGAAATCAATGAAGTCTCCAATGCACTGGATGCAAAAAATCAGCTCCAGTATAGTGACGTTCAGTGGAAACACCATGTTTGGTTTAAAGTTCCCGTGGAGAAAAACCCAGAGAGACCAGCAATGCATCGGCGTTCCCACAATGAAGCACAGTACTGAAGTGAAAATAAAGACAGCAAGGCCAAAATGTTCCTGACACATGCAAAACCAACTTACATCTCCACTGCTAAATAAGATTGGATTGTTGATTATGAAGGAAGAATTGCACATGGTTGTAGAGAACTGGGCAAACAGAAAACAATGAGTTTGTCATAATATTTTATGAGCAGCAAAAACAGGCAAGTCAATTTAAAATCTCAGCATGTAGTATACTGTAGTAAGTCTGGACAGATTACCTCTGGATCAAATCTTGTAATACATCTAGCAATTTTACTGTTAAATACGAAAACGCTTGTTTTGTTTACTGTGGAGACGTGCTGAAATGGCATTTGGTCTCGTACTGTATCGCGTACCTTGTCAGTGTCGTGCGCTTTGCTTGGCCATTTGTTGGGATAAACAGGAAAGTGTGTCCAGCTGAATTCAATTTGAGTTTTGTTAAACTAATTAAAAAGAAGCTTAGTTTACCCTTCAGCGGTCGTGTGAAGACCGAAGAGTGTAAAGACCATCGACTCTACCGTGCGACTCCACCGGGCAGGACACCGGCAAAGGCACATAAGTATCGCTTCTGAATCATTCTCTTTCCTACTACTTGTTCCCCTTCTGTTTTCAGTTTCATTTTTATTTAATTTCTTTTATTTTCTTAAATGTGTGTATATATATAGTATTTATAGAGTTTTAGCTTTTAGTTTTAATTACTTTTTCTTATTTGTAAGTCGCTTTGGATAAAAGCGCCTGCTAAATGACTAAAAGTAAAGTAAAGTAAAGTAAATACAGGATAGGAATAATGATAAAAGGCATTGTCATACCTGGTTCGATGGTACAGCCTGCAAAATAAGAATTGCTACATTTGATGCCAGCAGCCACCAAAAGTAGCTCATTCACTTTGTTTCATCTGTTCATAGAGAACTATAAATATACCTGTGCTCACTCCTGTTTTGTTTGCATACAGTATAGGCTACGTTCACACAGTCAGTGTTTGGGATTGACAAGCTCAATTACTTATAGTTGTGAGTCTTGAAATGTGCATGCTTACACAGCAGCTTACAATATAGAGGCTCAAATACTGTCCGTATGAATGTGTAATAGGAGTCAAGCCCGTAATCTATTTGTGACTATCACCTATAACCATAACGACATCAAAGATGACAACGTCCAAAACTGCTTATCACATTCGACATGACAAAAGTTTAACTGAAGCATGATTTCATCCCTGAAAGTGACTGGATCTAAACCAGGGGTCTCCAGCCCTGCTCCTGGAGAGCTACCATCCTGCAGATTTCAGGGCTTTTTCCAGAAAATACCGTCGTGACTTGTGAGTCTGAAAATGTACAGGTGTGAGTTCGGTTATAGAATGCGTGGGTTCTGTTATTGTCACTCCACTAAATAACTAACCTTTGAATGAACACAACCGTATTAAGGATACAAGGACTGCCAACCATATTGCTTGAGTGAACATGGCCAATGTGAGCTCGTACAGGGGCTGCAAAGAATGAAAATGAAGGACATTCTCAGGGCATCTTCAATTTGCCGCCATTATCTGGCTCAGTTGTGACTTCCGCTGGTGACAACATTACCAAGGCAGGGCTTGTCCTGGGCCAAAAAATGGCCTTTGCGGGTAGCTTTTTTAAATAACAATCCACACAAGCAAAGAAGACTGTGTAAACAGTGACCCATACTGACAGTAAACTCAAAATAAATGTCAAATGACAGTTTTAACAACTTGAAAATCATATTCTTGAAAAAAAAAAAAATAATAATAATAAATAAATTTAAAAAAAATTTTAAAAAAAATAAAAATAATTGGACTCTGGTAAAAAAAAAAAAAAATTTCTTCACTCCTGCCTTCAATTTCATTAAAGAGACCATGAAAAAAAATAAATAAATATGACCTCCATTGTCCCAAAAGAGTTGAATTGTTTAATATAGTAATATTCAGGCATAGCATTTCCATAGTTAGAGTTTCAGTGAGAAAGAAAAACAGAATCTCTAAAAAATACAAATCTAGAGGTTGATGCTGCCTTTCATTAAGGGACATGCTCATAACACAGTAAACACATACAAACTCAAGGATCTCAAAACAACCAAGACCTGACACAACAGTGTTTCCACTACTCTCAAACTCTCTGCCGCCCTCGTCTGGTTAAATGAGTGTATTACAGAAGTAAACAGTCTCTGGATTGTGTGTGATATATGGAAACATTGGTCAAAAAAGAAAATGGAGACAAAAAGACAGGATAAGGGAGAATTCGGTGAGCCATTTTACTTGGGTCAGTACCATGAAACTGTACTCTGCTAGTCAACAAGCTCCCATAGAGCGCTGCAGTGATGTGTTTTTGTATGCCGGCAACCCATAAGTTAGCATCACCCTGGTTCCTTCCACAAAAACCCAGTATGATTTTTTTCATTAGCTTTTGGATTATTGCAGAAAATAAGCTCTGTGACCAACAAAAGTTTATGATTTTTACACATTTTGTTCATTATGGTAATCTAACAAATTCTATGAATTTTGAAGCCTAAATATAATCACTAGAAGTAAACAGCTAAATGTAGGCTATGAATGAACTACACCACTACAGTTTACAGTAGCTATTTCAGTCATTATTTTAAAACTTTTCCCCTGAAAGTTTCATTTAGAATAGTTTGCAAGAGCACAATTATAAATGGAATGAGGCTGTGCAAGCGACTTGTGAGTGGATGAGTTTAAACATGGTAACGTCCCCAACAACCTCTGTAGTCCCATTTAGACACCTGTTAACAACTGCCTTTTTCAAGACTAGAGGGTATTATTGATGCACTTTATGTTGTAAGATAAAGTGTGAAAATATGTTGAGCTTGTGTTAACCCCAGACCTTATTTTAGACATTTAACCAAAAACCCATTAAAAAATAAAACATTTAACTTCACAATGATGGAACCAGAAGTGCTAAAATGTGCACTGGCCTACAAAAATTGGTCATCCCTGCAGCACTCCATTCACAAGATTAATGATTTCATTAGCATCTGGTGCTAAGGATAATGTCATGAATGAGGCTGACTGACCATTTGAAAATCCTGCCTCATTGCAAACAGGGCAACAAAACATCTTGGCCGCCAGCTTTCAGAGCTTCACATTATGTGGATTCTTGAATCTCTTCACGTTTGATGTACCTCCTACAGTCAGATGGAGTCATTTCCTCAAGGTCCAATCACTCTTATGGGCCCAGTACACTTACTCTCTTTATGGTTTCATGTTGAACAAACCCATGTACCATTGGCAGGAAGCCTCTGAGGAAGCGTCAGTCTTCACGCCAAGCAGCCTTGATGGGGACTAGGATGCGAGAACCACATCTCCCATACCTAGTAGCGTCAGTGTGCACACTCGTGTCCTAGCAGAAGTCAGAGACATAGTCAAAGTCCCTGAAGTAGTCCTGGTCTTTCCACGATAGGGTCCGGCGTTCACGAGGAGGCGTCAAGGTCGGCGCTTCGTTCGTAAACTCAGCATCAAAGTTACTGACATCTTCCTTTCCCTTCACTGCAGGAACGAAAGGAGGAGGAACTCTCCTCTGCAAAAGCGCATCCCAGTCTATATTCTACAGAGCGAGAGAAGTCACATCATCACTAAGATTGCAACTTTGGCATTATTGTACGGAGTCCCTAAAAGGACATGGCAATGAAACAAAATATGAGATGTGAAGAAAAATGCAGATGTTTTCTCAGAGTGCAATACTTTTGTGAGAGTATGCAAAGTTTCTGAGGGGAAGCACTACTTTTGTTAGAGAATGTAAAGTTTCTTGGGGGAACGCAATACTTTTGTAAGAAAATGTAACATTTCTTGGGGGAATGCAATACTTTTGTGAGAAAATGCAAAATTTCTCAGGGGAAGCAATGCTTTTGTGAGAAAATGTAAAGTTTCTTGGGGGAACGCCATCGAAGGATCGCACGCAACTTTTTTTGAACAAACGCAAATTATTTGAGCGAGCGCACCTTTTTTTTAACAACCAAAAAATGGCTGTTTCGTGGTCTGTTGAGGAAGTACAGACGTTCCTCTCCTTGATAGCCGAGGAGCGGATCTAGCAACCGCTTGATGGGGCGATGTGTATAATCCCGCCCACTCTAAAGCGGTACTAAACTGCAGAGGAAACGTAAACAGAGCTGTGCCGAGCCATACTGTGCAGTGGAAAGCACCAAAAGTTTCTCTGTGTAACACAAATATTTTGCAAGAGAACACAAAAGTATTGAAATATAATATTTCTTCCCATCTCATTTTTTTTATCATACCCCCATCTATTTAGGGACTCAGTATTATTGTGGCAAGTAAAGTCTACATACTCTAAAGAAGGGTTGTTTCTTGATGTCCTCTGCGTCTCTCTCACTGGAGCCCAGTCGTTTCTCAGGATTACGCCTCAGCAGCTAACAATGAAAAACAAGGAAATGCCTTTCAGTTAGCTAACACAGCCAATCAGAGAACAGCTTTGGGAAAAAATAAGAGTCTTACCCGTCTCATGATACCAATGGCCTCGGTGGAGAGGAATCTTGGGTAACGTACTTCATCATTTACAATGCTGTCGAACACCTCCTCTTCATCGTCACCTGGGAACGGTGACTGGACAGACACAGATTATGCATCAGACATTTTTATCAGATTATTCCTCAGAAAATAAGACTTCGTATTTTAACACTTTGAATCTGCAAAGGTATGTTGATTTAAGAATGTTTAGATGTTGGTACAGGAAAACAAACAAAATACTAAAAAAAATCTTCTGAACTTCAGTATATTTTGTTAGATTTATGATTCAATCAAGAAAAAAAGAACACTGGAAAACGCAATATTGCACAAACACACACCTCTCCAACCAGCATCTCGTAAATGAGCACACCAAGACCCCACCAGTCCACAGCTCTGGTGTAGGACGTGTCTGTTAGAATCTCAGGAGCAAGAAACTCTGGAGTCCCACAAAATGTACTGGTTCTGTCGCCATGACCCATTCCTACAGGACAGAAGATAAAAGCAAGACATTGAAAAAAAAAACAGAAAGAAGGAGCAAAAAGGAGATTACGTGCATCTTTTTTGCAGTATGTGTAAGCCCTCCGGTTCTACTCGACCAGCTCACTCAGAGTGTTTCTGGCATGGGAGGCGGACATGCTAACTAACTAAATAAATAAAATTAAAAAAAAATAAAAAAATATATATATATATATATATGTCTAGAGAAATTTTCTGTAAAGTGCATAGAACTATAAAAATCAAACTACAGAAGCACCTCATCCAAAATATTTCATCTGTTCATTTGGGAATTATAAATGTATCTGTGCTCACTCATATTGTGTTTGCATAGTGTTGTACCTGTTGTTTTAGATCATTTTATTTATGTGTGTGCAGCATATTGTAACCAGGATGCTGAGGTCGAGTTAGAATCCATATGCGGGAGTCTATTAAGAGCAGTTTCAATAGACAGGAACGTGAAGATAGGCACAGGGTCAAAAACTAAATAGCAGTCCAATCCATCAACATACACAGTGTTAATCCAAAAGGCAAAGGTGAGCAGGCAGGCAAAAGGTCCAAACACAAACATCAGTCCAGTCAGGCAACCAAAGCAAAGTGGATAATCCAGGTAATCGGTAGACAGGTAAACAGGCAGAATCATGCACAGAAAGTCCAACTAAAACCAATGAGAACATTAGCTAAACGGTCACCCTCCACGGAAGGAAATTTGATAATAACATGTCTATAATGCATTGAATGCAAAAAAACAGCTCCAGTATAGTGATGTTCAGCAGAAACACCAAGTTGGATTTAAGGTTCCCAAGGAGAAACACCCAGAGGGACCAGCAATGGATCGGTGTTCCCACAATGATGAATAATGCTGTAATGACAAAAATGAAGAGAGAGCCAAAAGGTCCCTGACCAAATAAAGCCTCATCGAATATGGAGGTTGAATTGTCTATTTGCAAGGATGAATTATACATGGTTGTTCAGAGCTGGGAAAAACAGAAATGAAGATTGGACAGGAGGACTGATTTATAGATAGATAAAATCGTACAATTGTTTAGCCTCTATTAGTTGTGTGTAACTTAACCCATAAGTTCACAGTTTATGCATTAAGAGAATTAATGGAATGACACACCTGGATTGATGAAACAGCATGCAAAATTAAAGAATTATTTAATTTGATCCCAGCAGCACCAAAACTGCCTTTCATCCATTCATTAGGAACTACAGTTGTGCTTGTGCTCTGATATAGAAATATTTTTTACAGTTCAGACAGCTTTATAGATGTTTGTAAAAGGGTGATTATTAATAAAAATAATTATTGGTAACACTTTACATTAAGATTCCCTTTATAAAGGGGTTATAAAGGTGTTCATAAATGACTAATAACTAATTTACAAATGCTTTAAAAATCAATGATAAGCAGTTATAAATGCATGAATAAAAAGGGTGATTTCAATGCAATACCTGCCAAATAGTGAGCCATTTTTAGCTCACATGTTATAAATGCTTAATAAATATATGTATTCATACCATTTTCACTCAAAACTATATTCCTGATCTAGTTCATGATGCAGCAAAAATAGACTATAATAGCCAGACTGGAGGGTGTTGAATTTTTTTTTCATTTATATCTCATGTCACTTTTCTTATGATTTTTCTTACCAGAATCTATTCTGTATTTTAGGATTCTCTGCAAAAGTTCATGATGCCTATCCACAGCAATGATTAATAACTGATAGGGGACAATAAAGCACAACCATGACTTCATGAGATATTAATAATGAAAATGTTAATAAAAATGTTAACTAATCCAATATTAGTTACTTGTGAACCTCAATGTAAAGTGAACACCTGTGAACCACTTTAATGCTGTGAAAGTGAACCTTAATGTAAAGTGAACACCTGTGAACCACTTATTGAGTTATAAATGTTAGTAAATTGTCAAAATGCACCTTAAATTGGACACACTAATCATTTATTTATTGATTATTACACATAGAAAAAGTTGGTATTTTTCTCATGAAATGTGTTTTATTGTTGTTGCACTATATCAGTAAACAACTTTAAACTTGCAACAAAAAGATTAATCTTTTTTTTTTTACAGCAGACTGGAACATAACTTCACACAAAAAAACTGACTTATACCAGTAAACTTAAATTAAACAATTCAGAAAAATCAAGTATTCCGTCAAATTATAACTAAGCATCACATCTACAAAAATAATTGATAAATGCAAGCTCAATAAAGATTTTTTTTTCTATGTCATGTTTTTCTCAATTGTATAATGTGATTTGTATAAGCCACATTTCGTGTGCAGTTATGCTCAGTAATGTTGTTTCAAGTAGTGTTTACTGATATAGTGCATCAACAATAAAATACATTTCACCAGGAAAATAAAACCTCCCTTCTGTGTGTGCATTAATAATAAACAAATAATTTTTTGTGTCCACTTTTCTTTAAGGTTCACATTCACATGCTATTGATGTTCATAACTCACTAATAAATGGAAGCTTTATAGATGTTTGTAAAAGGGTGATTATTAATAAAAGGAATTATTGGTAACACTTTACATTAAGATTCCCTTTATAAAGGGTTTATAAAGGTGTTCATAAATGACTAATAACT